AGACAGGATTTGTGTTTGGAACAGGCCAGGAAGTCCCTGTAGATCCTGGTAAATCCTTTCCATGATTTTCCCAGGTACCTCTCTCCCATCTTGTTTCCCAGACTCACGGAGATGCTGCTGGTTTGTAATAATCAGAACATTGCAACTGAAAAATTACCCAAGAGAACTTGAGACTGAACCAGCCAAGCATAAGTGTTAAGGGAACCAGGATGCCACCAACTCTGGGATCAAGTGGGTCTTTAGCTTCTTTCCTGGTCAGCGCGGGAATGACAAAGCTCGGAGAAGAGGGTGAAGATTGAGGGAAGATCTGAAGACATTGCGTTAGAACGTTAGCGGACATTACTTTAACTACGGAAGCCAGCCCCTTTCCCTGAGCTGCTCTTTCCTGGGGAATTAATTATTTCTCATTCCCTGTTTCCAACCTTCTTCCAGATGCCTTTGTAAAAAACCCACTTTCCAGGTGACAAGCTTAGGACCTGGGAAGGGGCTAAGACCCTCTGGCCCTCCCGGAGAGCAGCCTTCTGCTCTGCCATTCTGCTGAGGTTTTATTTTGCATCAGATTTGCTGGTCTTTGAGGGAAGTTGAATCTAGAGTTCAGAAAGTTCCTGGGGATGGACTAGGGCCAGGATGTGTCTGAGTGTAGCATCTGAGCACAGCTGTGCCAGTGTGGGGTAGGGTTGGGCTTCTGTTGGTGGGGACAGTCACTCACCTGCCTCTGCCTTGGGGGATAGAAGAAAGGCCAACAGGAGCAAGAGTGGCTGCATCTCCTCAGGAAGGCCACCCAGGTCAGAACTGCTGGTGTTTCCTCCCAGTCTTCTAACCCCAGGGTTCCCTGGTGTTGTGGCCTTTATAACATAAGGCTCTCTTCGAATGCCTTATGCAGCTCTCTGATCGAGCCTGTGGATCTGAGTGGCGTAAGAACTTATCAGTAACCACATAAGCACCTGTAGCTCTGGACTCAGTGCTAGCCACACCAGCTGCAGGAACCACAGGCTAGAGGGTGGGGTGGTTGAAGATTCTGTATCAGCCAGCAGCAGGTCCCTCAGCCCCAGAAACCCGAGTCCCATGATGATGCATGAGATTCTTCCTATCCTTGCCTCTCTCTAGACCATTGGGATGATTGTTTGTTGAGGCCTCTTTTTTTTTTTATGAGACTCAGGGCTGTTGGAGATGAAATTTCTTGCTTCTGGTATTGGAGACAAAGCCATCAGTGATCAGACAAAGATGGTGAGGGCCATGGCTAGAGGGATGGACAGAATGGAGTGGCGGTAATACTGAAGAGGGCTCGTTTCAGTAATTAAAGAACTGAGTGTTTAAAACAACAACAATAACAATTTATTTTGCTCACAAATTTTGGTCAGGGTTTAGTGTGGATAGGTCCCCTTTGCTCCCCTTGATGTCAGGGGAGGCTTGAAGCCTGGAGTCTGGGATCAGCTGAAGGCTGGCTCACACAGACCCAGAGATTGGTTCCGGCTGTCCATTGGGCATGTCAGTTCCTCTCTGTGAGGGCCTCTTATACAGCCTCTGTGTAGAAGTGTTCGGTCTTCTTTGCAACATGATGGTTGGCTTCTGCAGAGTGAACATCTCTCAAAATCGACCCAGGTGGAAACCATTCTTTTTTTTTTTACCTAGACTTTGATGCCATATTGTATCCATTCTATCATATTCCACCGCTTGGGGCAATTGAGAGGCCTCATCCAGGTTTAAAAAGGGAGCGTCGTAGTCATGTAAAAAGAGCCTGAGGGATGGGATATACACAGTGGCAGTCATAGCAAAGCACAATCTGCCACACTGCTTTAGGGACATGTAGAGTTGGTCAGAGGAGTTGAAACCACTGATCCCTGTAAGCCTAGGTCACAGCCTTAGCAGAAGTTGGGGGCTGCTCTGTCCAAACCATGTGTACTGAGAATGGAAGAGGGTTAGCTGTCCCCAAAATTACTCTCTTCAATGAATTCCTGATACCAGAAATGGATGCCAGGAAGCCACAGCAGTATTCTCATACCGTGGTCCAGAGAAACATTACATTTCTGATAAGAGAGTCGAGTGCACAAAAATAAAACCGTAAGTACACTAGAAACAAATATGGGTAAATTTCTTCATAAACTTAAAGTGAGAAAGCCTTTTTAGCAATAACTCTAAATCCAGAAACGTTAAAAGAAAAAATCGATAAACAAATTATGATATGTAAAAAATAATTTTAACAAATTTCTTTGTCAAAAAGCGGCACAAGCAAACTCAAAATACAGACAGCAAACGTGGAAATAAATCATTGCAATTTATATCACAATTAAAGAGTGAATCTATCTAATATAGAAAGACTTCTGAAAATTCAGAAGGAAAAGACCAAGAAGCGGATAGGGGAATGGGCAAAGACCTGCACAGATCACAGTAAAATACATTTAAAAATAATAAAAAGAATCTCAACTTCACTCATGTTAAAAGAAATAGAAATAAATGTGGAAAAAATGGCAATAAAAATTCTACTGAGATACTTCAGCTTATCTCACAGGTGGCCCAAAACTCAAAAGTTAAGCGACGAACTCCATGGGCAAGGTGTTTTTTTTTTAATGGGTGTTGCAGGATATATCTTGTTTTTCTATAATTTTACTTTCATCTTATCCATGTCTTTATATTTCAGATGTGTTTTTTTTTTTGTAAACAGCATAAAACCACATCTTGCATTTTTTTAATCAAGATTGAAAATTTTTGCCTTTTAATTGGAGTGTTTAATTTGTTTACATGTAATGCAGTTACTGATAAGGGTGGATTGAAGACTATGGCTACTTGATTTCTAATAGTGTGGCTTATTCTTTTCCTTTGCCCTTTTCCTGCCTTCTTTTGTTGTACTCATTTCATCTTCTTTATTGGCCTTCGCTTTTATTTCTCTATATGTTACTTCGGTGGTTACTCTAGGATTATAATATGCCTCCGTCACATATCACGGTCTCCTTTGATTTAACAGGGCACCACTTTATTTGAGAACTTGTGACGATGCATTTCCATCTATCCTCGCTCACACCTGTTACATTCAGTCACGTTTTATACTTTTATTTCTCTTTTTCCCTTTCTGCTTGCAAAGAGGATCATTTCCTTTCTTCCTTAAGAACTCCCTTCAGTGTTCTCATGGTGGGGGTATGATGGCAGCAAATTCTCTTACTTTACTTTTCTAAAAATGTCTTTATTTCGACTTCATTTTCAAACAACATTTTCACTGCATATAGAATTCCAGAAATAGATTGCCTGTTTTTTTTCTCCCAACTGTTTAAAAATGTCACTGTCTTCTGACTTCCATGATTTCTGACGAGCTCATTGTTATTCTTATTGTTGCTTCCCCTAAAGTCATGTATCTTATTTCCCCCTCCGTCTAATTTCAACTTTTTCTCTTTATCTTTGATTTTCACCAGTTTGACTATTATGTGCTCAGATGTGGCTTTGTCGTATCCGAGGTTCACTGAGCTTCCCGAATCTGTGGATGAGAATAGTCTAGCAATAGGCCTACGAAAAAAAAAAACAGGGACCTGTTGCTGTGCTCCTTTCATGGTGAAATGTCTGTTGCTCAGATGCAGTGCTGCGTGGGAATAAACCCTGTAAGTTCTGTAAGTCCACAAAGGGTGGTACCGGCAGAAGTACGGTGGTGGACAGTGGGCAGGCAGGGAGCAGGCAGGGAGGGCGACCCTAATTTCCTTTGCTTTAAAAGTAGCAGGTAGGAGTGTCATGGTACAGATTCAAATGGTAGGAAAACCCATATTATGTATCTGCTAGAAGGCAATTAGAGTCTGACTTTAAATACTCATCCAACTGGATGGGCCAGAAAACGTTCGCTGTCATTGCTGCAAGCTCTGGTCTGTGTAGACTCGAGCTGGAATCAGGGAGGCTCTTGTGATCTGGAGAATGGAGACACGTCTCTGATCTTTATGCCATCATGGTTACTGCTGCATCTAAAGTTTCTGAGATGACCTAGACTTTTCAGTGTTAGAAAGTTTTTGGCTTGGAGGCCACACATAGAGAATATGACATTTTTGCTGAGCAAGACTCTCCTTATGTTGGGCTCACCTCACCAGACCCTCCCAGCAGCCAGCCTTCCCGGTCATTCCACTAATACGAGGCGCTACCTAGGAGCTGAGCCTAAGTTCCAGCCCTGGGCTAATGCCCTCCTGCCTCAAATACACACAACACTACACTCTCCTGTGATATGAGGTAAGTGCTCTGGGATGTGTAACCCTCAGAGGCATGACCTTGCACATCTTGTTGCACACAAATTATGCAGCAACACAATCTCCGAATGACCTTGGGCACTTTTACAAGCAAAGAGCTACTGATTTGGAGCTGAAAAAAAAAATTCCTGCATCTAGGACTTACTAAGGACCTCGCTCCTTGATTGAAAAAGACAAAAAGGAAAACATAGAAAACAAAACAAAAATAACATTTTAAAAAGTTGCCCAGCCGCGCACAAGTTTAGGTACAACATTTACTTTGAGGAAATAATTCTGTGGTTTAAAACAAGTTTGAGAATTGTATTGTAGGACTTCCTCTTTTGACTGATGAGAGAGAGACAAAGTCCCAGGAGGGGTGGCAACCGCCTGAAGGTGCCACAGAGCTAGGACAGAGCCTAGACTGAGGCCAGGTTTCCTGACAGCCGGGCCAGCAGAGGTCTTACATGTAAACACCTGCCCTGAGATGACTTCCTGGCATCCCTAAACAAGAGATAAGCTTCGGCTCAGACACCTCCCTAAAGAGAAAGCCTTTGGGCTCTTGTGCTGGCCATTCTGTAACAAGTATTCAAGATGTTTTCCTGGGTGAGCTGAAGTCTGCTCGTGGGCACATTGGGCTGGAGGCAGGCAAGCACCTTGAACTTACTGATTCCTTCCGGTCTCCCTGTCTGTGGAGGTATTCTTCCCACCCCCCACCTCTGAGGAAACAATCTTTCCCATGCTTAAAGATCTTTTTAATGAACATTAAAAAAGAAAAAAATAGAATATCTCTATAATGCCTCTACCCACCAAGACCTACTAGGTGCCAGGCATTGGGAATATACAGTCAACATAATACAGATTCTATCACTTGAACCCAAGTGAAACTGACAGTGTTGACTTTCACCCGAATCATCTAACTCCCTCTCCTTCCTTCACATGAGTCCGCGGGGCCTAAATCTATGTGAGAAACCTGCAGGAGTAAGATTTGTATTTTATTTATATTGCTGGTTACAATCTCTCTGAATTTCATCACATGGGATGGGGGACACTGGGCTAGATGTGAGGGATTGAGTTGGCCCTGCCCAGGTGAGAGATGGGGCCAAGGGTTCTGGAGAGACACCTTGCCAGCCCTCCAGGAGCCGTGCCTGCTGCCAGCACAGGCCTGGTCTGTCTGATAGCCCTCTGGCAGGGCATAAACTGGGGTGGCATCTCAATGGCGAGGCCGTGCTGGAACCACATGGGTGTCTTAGGTGGGAGGGATATGAGGAACTGGCCAGCTCAGATCAGTGTGGTCTGGAGGGGACAGGAGTTGGTGGACTTGGAGAGCTCTCAGTGGTCAGCAGAGATGGAGAAGAAGGGGCAGCCAGGAAGACTGCAGGCGAAGCTGGGTCCTGAACTCAGAGGAGGGCAGAGAAGGGCAAGGAAAGAAACTCAGCCTAGGTGAGAATGAGGAGCTTCTTATGACTCCCCCCATGGCCCCCAAAGCTGCCAGCTTCCCTGGCTGTGGGGAAGAAATGTCCTGCTCAGGAAGGCCCCTCCCCTCTCCAGTGTGACGGAGCTGTGGCCTTGAGCTGCAGTCCCAGGCTGTGTTTGCTTGGTGTCCAGCACCCATGGTGTTAGTCTCTTCCTTTCTGCCATATAACTCAGGGGAAGAAGGTAAGAAGTTCAGGCCAAGCCCTAGGACCTGGGAGATTCACGTTTTCTCCTGATGGTGCTCAGTCAGCTTCAGCCCTGGCGGTGGGGCAGGCCCTGGAGTTACGGGTGTGGATAAGAAGGAGCTGGATAATAGCTTCGCATGGGGTTTGGGGGAGGTGGTGGGGAGAGGGGAAGCAGAAAACAGCAGAATCGTGCCATTGGTCTTCTACCCATAGAGCTGGTGCCTTGAGTGAGGGTTGACGAATACATAAGAAACCAGCTCTTCCCACTCAGCTCAGAGACATTTATTTGGTTTCTGGCACCACCTACCCAAACCCCACTCCCCCATCCGCCAACAGTGTGATTCTGGATTAGCTCAAAAAAAAAAAAAGACAGTCCGATTTCCGCAGTTAGAGGTTCTTCATGGTTTTCTTTATCCAGGACAGGAATTTTGAGACTTTAGTGTAGGCCCGCGGAGACGTCCCGTTTTTTCGTCCATAGGAGACAATGCCCTGGATCACATTCTTACATACTAGAGGGCCGCCAGAGTCGCCCTGTGGACAGAGAAGGCAGGGAAGCTGAGCTGTCTCCCCTACCGGTTCTGCCTTCCCTGCCACCCCAGGCCTCTTCTCAGAGAAGGCTGCCTTGCATGACCTCCACGTGGGAGATCAGAGAGTGGGCAGGTCAGCACGGACATTGTCACTCTTCACTGCACCCCAGGCGGCAGCTCCTTCTTCTCCCCCAGGTCCCAGATCCTCTGCCTATAAAGGCGCTGTGGGACTGTGGCTCTAAGTCTACTGTGTAAGTACATGAAAGCAGGCGGGTGGAGCTGACACTTAGCATGGAGGACAAGCCCAATAACTAAGGTGGGCGCCAGCTCTGAGGAGCCACCTGGTTTTAACTCCTGCACACACAGGGGGCACAGTTTTCTAGTTGCTCTGGCCCACTGTGTTGCAAATTCATCCCCCTGGAGGAGTGCTGTGTTTAGACTGACCACAGGCCCTTGGTAGGCTCTCAGAGGCCTTGTTTCTTCCCAGCTCTGGCTGCTCCCTGCTTCTCTTCCCTGGGAGAAAGATCACAACCTAGAGCACGGGTCTCTAGGTCCCAGTCCTTCCCCAAACACTCCTCTCCCGAGAGCCACACTAGGCAGACACTCAGTCTCACCTGAAAGGAAGCCTTGTTCTCCGTGGGGTTCCCCACACACAGTTGAATGGCACTGTTGTAATAATTTCGTAAGTGGCATTCACACTCCCAATCCTTTTGCACGGTCAGCTCCACCTCCTGCAGTGTGTCTGGGTATGTGTTTATCAGGGCGATCCGCCCCCAACCGGCCACACTGCACTTCTGTCCTGGCATCACCCGGTCCTCTTCCCTGGGCAGGCGGAGGAGCTTCACAGCTTTCGTCAGCTTGATATTTTTCTCCAGCTGATGGGGAAGAGGCAAGAGAGTCCAGATCAGCTAGCGGCCTCTCGGCTTGGACACCAGGAAGCTGCAATGCCTGCCCTCCCCGCTGAGCCACTGGGACTGGTCAGGAGGGCAGGATGGGAAGAGGAAATGGACAGGTCACAGTAGGAGGGAAACACTGAGAACTCAGCAGTAAGAGCAGCAGGACGTTCCCTCCTTACCTGCAGTAACATGATGTCATTGGAGAAGTTCTTAGGATTATAGTCTGGGTGGGGGATGGCTTTCACCACACGGAAGACTTGCTGGGTCTTCTCCTGCTTCTTGATGTTATGGGCCCCCAGGGTGACATTGATTGAGCTATACAGAGAGCAGAGTGGGGATGTGTGTGAGGGTGTGGAGGCACCGGAAATACAGCCCAGAGCCATGAAGGAGAGGTGACAGCGGGGCAGGGCAGGGCTACAGCTAGGGCCAGAGGGCTGAGTGACACTGTGCCCTCTGCTTCTCAAGGACACCGAGTGTATGGCTTCTGGGAGCTCGCTCTTACCCTCAGGCAATATCATGAAATCGCTTGAGTTTGTCCTTTGATGTTAATGCGTGCTTTCGTCCTCCATCACTGCTTGATTTGGCCAGTGTGGTCACTCTCTTCTCTTCTCTACTGTGTCACTTACTCTGACCTCTGACCCTCTGAGCCCAAAGCTTACTTGTCCTTTTTCTCAGCTTTTCCTTATCCCAGTCGTGCTGTCAGATGGCTCCTCTGAGGAGCTCTGTGAGCTTGAGTTACCAGGAGCCTGGGGAGCTCCCCTGGGCTGCACCCCTGGGGAGGGAGGGGTCCCTGAGCGGGTCTCAGGAGGTGTCGGCTGGCTGCGGCCCCTCACCTTCCACTGCAGTGAGCAGCTGTCAGAACAAAATTCTCCCGCACGAGGACACCGCCGCATCTGTTCTTATGCCCATTTTGCAGAAACTGAATGTAGGCCATGTAAGGGCGGGAGTGGGGCTTGGCCTCGTGTCCCCCGATGATCTTTCCTGAAAGAAAAGTCTGTTTTGCTTGTGTGCATCCACTGAGTCCACCAGACATCATCTTGATGACTCAGAACTGTGGGGTACTTGGGAGCCTGGGCTGGCCTGGAGTTGGGAGGAGGTGGGAAGGGTCCTCAACTTTCTCCTATGGAAAAGGGAAGAACAGCCAGCTTGGTCTGTGAATTTTGCCTCCACATATAGTTGGAGGTGAGCATACTTGCCTCAGGGACAGTGAGGTCCTAGAGGCTCTTGAAAATTTCTCTCCTGACTTGGCTTTGTTTCAAGTGAGTTTCGGATGCCCTTATGGTCCTGTGATGTCCAGGACAGTGCCGCTTTCTGGTGGCCAGAACGTAAGTTTAGGGATCTAGATGTTGCAGGGCTTAGGGCCTGACACAGAGTTGGTGCCCAAAAAGTGTTTGTTGGCTGCACGAAGGGGTGGCCTCCCAATGGACCTCTGGAGGAGGGTTGGTAGGGCCAGTGCAGTGGAATTCTGGAAAGCATAGAAGTTTGGGGGTGCCAAACACAGGGGTTTAATTCTTGAAAGAGGGGAGCCACTGAAGGCATGGGAAGAGAAGCGGAGTTGGAGAAAGGAACTGAGGGGACTTGTAACTGAGCAAAGACAACAGCAGTCTTCTGGGGACAGTGCCCCCCTCGGCAAAGCTCTGGGGTCTGCTGAGCTTTGGGCTTCTCTCCTAAGCAGACACTGAAGGGAGCACCTGTCTCGTCCCAGACTTGGAGACTAGGAATGCTGTGCCTTCTGCAGTTTGCCACCCTCTGCCATGCACTTCTAGGAAAGTCTCACCTTCCAGATGGTAAAGGCAAAGCCTGGGGAGGGATAGTACCTACTGGATTTTCTTGAGAACAGCCTTCTGCCCTGCCATTTCTGCTGGTAGCTTATCCAGCATCATGCTTGGGCTTCTGAGATGGGATGGGAGCTGGGTTTCAGAACATTCCTGGAGGATAGGTGGATCAGAGATGCACAGAAGGGGCAGGAGGTCTGGGCCCTCTGTGGAATGGGGTCAGGCCTGTGAGGGTGGGATGGTGACTCACCTGCCTCTGTCCCAGAGGGCAGTAAAAAGGCCAGTGAGAGCAGGAGCAGGAAGGGCCACATCTTCCCAGGAAGGCTGCTGATGTCGGAGCTGCTGCTGTCCTTCTGTGATCTCCTTTAGCCCCCAGGAGAAGAAGGAGGTGCAGATGGGCTCAGTGACTTCGAGTTCCCTTCTGGTCTTGTAGTGCTTCATTCTAAGAGGCTTTCTATGAAAGTGTCTCCGCCCTCACACCTACTGCTTGATGACGTTCTCTGGGTGGTTGTGTGAGAATTAAGCAGTACCTGTAGCTGATGACTCAGAGCAAATAACTTGTTTCAGCCCAGAGCAGGAACCGAAGGTGACAGGTGGGGACCATAGGATGTGGTATTGACCAGTAGAAGTGCAGGAACCCAAAAACCTCTGAGTCACCGGGGATAGAACTACACTAATGCCTTTTTTTCCATGCTACCAAGTCCATCAGGATAATTTATTTCACAGATGTGTGCTATGACCAAACATATGGGAGATACATATGGGAGATGTATCTCCTTCCCTTAAGATGACCATCTGGTGGAGGAGACAGAAACATCAGTGACCAGAGTACTGTGTCTGAAGGGCCATGGTAGAGGGTTGCACAAGACAGTAAGAGAGCACGGCCACCATCTACTAAACCGATTCTGCAACCCATCCATCATCACAGCTTCCTTCCTAGGGATTTTTAACATTTCTTGCTAATTTATGAATGCTCAGAGTGATAGAGTTCACCTCTCTTGTCAATAATTTTAACAAAAGTCCTGCACTTGACATGTGTTGGTCTAAGGTTATGAATCACTGTGACCTCAAAAGTTGAATCCACTAACTGACTTAAGCCCAGGTTGTTTCTACTTTGAGTAGGGGGCTGGGGTGGGTTGGTCCCACCCAAACCACATGAACTAAGGCTGGTTCTCCCAAAGGAAGCTCGGATGACTAAATTGCTGATACTCTGTGAAGTAGGACAGTGTGCTGGACAACCAAAGATCAATAACTGTTCTTTTAGTATTCTCTGTCTTCTGTCCTGAGAGCCACACTTCTGATATTGCAGGCTTGGCCCATAGGAAGCTCATACTTGCTAAACAAATTATGTCGACGATCTCACTATATTGGAATGGACATGAAGGACTGTTATTTCTAAACAGCTCGAGCCCAATTCTGTTCAAAGAACAACTAAGTATCTCTGAGTGGTTAGATTCTGGAAATTTAAATTTCCATCTTTATATGTTTTTTTATACCTTACAATTTTTCTACGAGAAATATTAGGGATCAACATACATAATTTCAGTGTAAATGTCCTTGTCATGCCATGCATTCTAAACCTTCACTTTTTTGAACTTAGCTCGACTACTAGTAGACATTTTAAAAATAAAAATACCTTTCTGATTATAGTGGTAATATGTACTCATTAAAAAAAATTGGAAAGTAGGAAAAAATATCATTCGTTTGCCTATCTCCCATGGACAAGCTGTTATCATAAGAAGTGAATTTTAAATACTTGGGATCATATTATACATATTTCTTGCTAATTTTCTTTTTTCCTCACTTAACTCTATGACATTAGCATTTTCCCCATGGTCTTAAAAACAATTATTCAATGCCACTATAGTCTCTGCTTCCTTGTTATTAAAAAGTTAACATGAAATTAATTTCTAAATTATTGTAAAAGTAAAAAAAAAAAATCAAAGAGAAAATGATCTAATTTCTGATTACTCATTGATAATCATCTTTAATGTCTTGAAGTACGCTCTAACATATTTTACTCAGGTCTATCTGTATTTTTAAAATTAAAAGGGGATTATGCTAAACATAAGACTATGTCATAACCTTTGTTAAAAATTGAGCTGAGATTCGCACAACAAAATTAACTATTTTAATGTAAACAATTCAGTGGCATTTAGTGCGTTCAAAATGTTGTGCAACCACCACCTCTCTTTAGTTCCAAAACTTTTTCATGACCTCAGAAAAACGTTTTGTTCATACCTGCTAAATTGTGGATCCATTAAGTTGTGGGTCCACAGTTTAATGAGCACTTAATCACTTTCTGTTTTCCTTCTCTCATCCATCTCTCTCCCTGGCTCCTGGCAACCACTAATCTTTTCTCTGTCTTTATAGATTTGCATATTCTGAATAATTCACATAAAACGAATCGTGTCAAATGTGACCTGTTGTGTCTGGTCTCTTTCACTTAGCATGATGATTTTGAAGTCCATCCAAGTTGTAGCATGTATCCCTATTTTAAATTTTTTTTTTTTTATGGCTAAATGATATTCCATTGTATGTATATACCACAATTTCCTCATTTATCTGTCAGTAGAAATTTGGATCACTTCTCCCTTTTGGCTATTATAGCTGATGCTGCTATAAATATTTGTGTACGAACTTCTGTGTGGATGATATGCTTCCATTTCTCTTGAATATGTACCGAGGAGTGGAATTGCTGGATCTTTTGGTAATTCTAGGTTTAATTTCCTGAAGAACCACTAAACTGTTTATCGCAGTGGTTGCACTATTTTACATTCCTACCAGCAATGGACAAGTGTTTCTATTTCTTCACATCCTCACCAACACTTGTTACTTTTCTTTTCTTTTTTTTTGATTATATTAATCCTAGTGGATATGAAGTGGTATCTCATTGTGGTTTTGATTAACATTTTCTTATGAGGTTTAGCACCTTTCCTGTGTTTGCTGGTCATTTGTGTATCTTGTCTGGAGAAGTGTTGACCTTTGCCACCATCCGCATTCCCATCCTCCTCACTATTTGGACTGGTTCTTTAAGAGCTGGGCTAGAGCCCCAAACATGCTATGCTGGTTAGGCTGAGAATGGAGAGGGTGGAGAGTTCAGGGAAAATTTTCTTTTAACTTCAATGGCTAGTCAAATGGCCAAAGCCGTATAGGAAAGTTTTCCCAAATCTAGAAGTAGAAATACCAATTTAAAGTAGAGGAAAGCTTACTGAGGTGGCAGACATGTGGAAAAGAGTGTGAAACAGGTAACTTCCTAAGAAAAAAACCCACCTGGGGAAAACCCCACTGGAGATAGTAAATTTCTTTCTAGATGTGACCAAAGGGAGTCAAACTAAAAGATTTGTGAAATCCATTTGTTATTTGTAATTTTAAGAATCTGTGTCTAAGTAAAAATTAATAATAAACATCTGGAAAAGAAGATATGATTAACCAGTTTGTTGAACAAAAGAAAAAATAATATTTAACATTTTAATGCTGGCTAATATTTATTGATCACTGCCCATAGATCTTCTACTTCGACCTCTGAGTTAGCTAATGATATTTCTTTCATTTCACAAATGAGAATGCTAAGACGTTGAAAAGGTAAGAGACTTGTTCTATATCACTCAGCTCATAGGAGTGGAGAGGGGACAGTGATTAGAATGCAGGGATGTGATTCCACAGTCTGTGATCTCATCCACAGCTCTATAAACATCATCATTTCTTATCTTGTTCAAGGAATTTGAGGAAAAAATTGAGAGAATGTCGAAGAATAAAAGTTTCTGTCTATATCTCTAATGTGGGACACTGGTTCTCTTAGAAGAGAAAGGCACTTCAGTGGCTACTATATCGTGACTGATGGATAAGGTCATTTGGTTCACATATATCCTTTGCTCTTATCCTTTATTCCCCTGACATTCTTCCCCAATGTGCAGGAGAACGTCATACCTGGCCCGTGAGGACAATCCTTGTGGGCCTTAGCCCCTCACCGAATCATATCTAGTACCTATTGAAAGTGAGCAAAACCTTTTCTTGTAGGCAATGGCAATGGCACAACGACATACATGGCATTTAAGGCTGCTGCTATAAACCAATTTCCCTGAGTCTGATCATTCCCTTAAGTAATGCCTAAAATCAGAAACTATAGGCATAAGGGGTCAGAACTTAGCCCTAGGGGGTTTCATTTGACCATGAAACTCAGCCTGCTGTCAAGAAGAGATTCCTGCCTCAGTTAGGGGTTATCTTTGCATTCCTATTAAGAGATTGCAATGATAGAATTTCTGGGGTGTTAACAGGACATCAAAAACGGTTTTGAAGGAGAGAACTGTCAGTGAAGGAGAACCTAGATTATGTGTTGGAATGGGAAAGGTTGTACTTTCGTTTGGTCTCCATAGTAGTAAGGATGGAGGAGAGATGGCAGGGATGGGGAGAGAAAAATGTTTACAGGACAGATATACATCTGTGAGATTTTCAGAATTTTGGCAGCCATGAGAACAATCTTTAAATTTCCCTATTGCCCACACCAATCATTGCTCGGCCACCAGCAAAGATCTGGATGTGGAGTTGGGAGTAATTCAGTAAAACTCTGGAGTAGGTAAATGTCTGGGGTTATGTGTAGAGAGATGACTACAGAGGAAGAGGGAGGAAGAGTGGACTTAGGTGAGGACAGTGCCCACCGCTACCACACTGGGGGTACGGGTGACAATGCGGACCCAGAAAAATCAATCGGTGTTGACTACATTTCTGGGTGGGAGCGAGTTGGAAAGGAGTGATATTCCGGGTTGTGATGTTGCTTTTGATATAACCCTAGATCACACTCAAGATCCCCCTCTCTCAACTTCCCCACCCTAGGACCTTTATCTCCCCAGGAACTTTGCCCACTGAGGTCATTTCTTTTCCTCAAAGCGTTTTGTTCCCACAAGGCTTGAAGGTCACACCTTACTCTTCTCGAGTGAATGGGTCTTTCTCTTCCCATCTTACTCAGGGGCTAGTGCTATGGGCTTTCTTACCATGTCTATATGGGATGTGGTTTGGTTTGGGGTAGGTAAAAATGATGCTACTGAATCATTTACCAGAATCTCTAGTATATGATTACAAAACTGGTGAGTTTTTCTTTCTCTCTATTTCATAGGTCAGGACAGATGTAACAAAGTATTGTGTTTGAAAAACCTAATTCACACCTAAGAATTCTTGTGTTACATCCCCTATCTGTCCTCCAGTCCTGGTATGACATCTCCTAGTTGGAGATATCTCTATGCTATCAAGTTCCTCTGTTTTTGACTAAATGCTAGGAAGCAGCACTGGAACCATATGTGAGCAAAGCAGAAGATCTGGACCATCCCAGAGCCCTTCAAAGCCTGCCTGTGAGAAATCGAGTATTGCAGAAACTCACGGAGCCTCTGAGAGCATTTTTAC